ACGCGTGATCCAGAAGCAGTGCTCTGGCTCCGTCTCGAGAGACATTCCCCCAGCAGCGCTCGCACTCGGGTGCTGATGCTTCCCTTCCTCCAGGCATCGGATGGGTCAGCCCGCCAGGTGGGCGCCTCGTGGGCGCCTCACGTGCGCTGTGTGGGCCAGCCGAGGTGTCGCCCAGTGCTCCCCCGTCGGCACCTCCTGGGAGGCGTCGCCCGGTGCCCGCCCCGGGGGCGCCCCCTGCCGCCTCGCGGGCGCCTCGCGGGCGCCACGTGCGCCGACCGGGTGGGTCAGCCGAGGTTTCGCCTGGCGCACGCCTCGTGGGCGCCTCGTGCGCTGGGCGGCCGCGTAGCTTTCACCACATACCCCACGCCACATCGCTTACACCACATAGGTCACACCACACGGTGTGCACCACGTGGACCGCACCATCTAGACTGTTGCACCGCATAGCTTGCACCTGCACCGCAGAACCTTGCACAACACACGTTGCACCACATGGCTTGCAACACGCAGCCTGCACCGAAGGCCGTACACATCCAGAAGTGCACCGTTTTCTTCATGGGCAAGTCTTGCAATCCTCCGGTTGATGGACAAAATCCTGCACCAACCGCGCAACCGGGGCGACGGCGCAAACTTCCACGCGCCCCCCTGCCCCCGATTCAATGTTGATTGGCTGCGCCCGCGGGGTGCAGGATCTAGGCCGGTCGGCGGATCGACAAATCGCGCCACAGCCTGCCAATATTAAAATGGGGGGCGCGGGGGGCGAAAGAAAAACCACAAGAAGTGCAGGATTTAGGTCATCAGCCGTCCCTCCTGCTCCTCCGCCCTCCGTCGCCGCCTCCTCCTCCTCGTCCACAAGTGCATCAGTGCACCTTTTTTCTTCATGGGCAAGTCTTGCAATCCGCCCTCCTGCTCCTGCTCCTCCTCCTCCTCCTCCTCCTCCTCCTCCCCCTCCTCCTCCTCCTCCCCCTCCTCCCCTCCGCCCCTCCTCCTCCTCCTGCTCCTCCTCCTCCTCCTCCTCCTCCTCCTCCTCCTCCTCCTCCTCCTGCTCCTCCTCCCTTGGTCGCCGCCTTCTCTTCCTCCTCGGCCTCGTGGTCGCCTCGCCGCTCTGGCGGCCTCCGCGCCACCCTCCGCGGCCCGGCCCCCCCTGCTCCGCTTCCGCCGCCGCCGCCTCCTCCTCCTCGAGCGGCTCTCTCTCGCGACGGGGCACCTCCCTGCGTCGAAACGAACCCAGCGACCCGTGAAGGGGGAGCCTGGAGGGAGCGCTCACTCCAACGTCGCTGCTGAGTCTTGGGTTTGCACTGGTCCTCCTCCTCGTCCTCCTCGTCCTCCTCCTCCTCCTCCTCCTCCTCCTCCTCCTCGCCTCCTCGTCCTCTCGCCTCCTCGTCCTCCTGCCTCCTCGTCCTCCTGCCTCCTCGTCCTCCTGCCTCCTCGTCCTCCTGCCTCCTCGTCCTCCCTGCCTCCTCGTCCTCTCTGCCTCCTCATCCTCCTGCCTCCTCCGCCTCCTCGTCCTCCACCCTTCCGTCCGCGGCCGTCGCCCCGATCTCGGCGGCCAGCCTGGCGGACCAGCGGGCGGGCCGGTCCGCGGCCGACCACTCGCTCGCGCACCCCCGCGCGGGCAGGGAGCGCCCAGAGGCCGTGCCTCCGACGACCGGGCGTTGCCCACGGGGGGGGGGCGACGGGGGAAGGGGGGGGGAGAAACGTGCACCTGTCGCGCTACTTCCAGGGCCCCATAGGGCCCCCTTTTTCGGGCCCCCCGTAGGGCACAACGTGTGCACAGTCCTTCGCCCCTCCATGTATCGCCCCCCCCCCTCTGCAACTCCCGAGACAACTTGCTTGTTTCAACGCGGGCGTTTTTATCCGATCTCGGCTTCCGGGGCCTGTATGTCGGGCCTTGCCAGGCCCATCGAAAGTGTGCGGGTGCCCTGGGAAGCCAAGTGCTCAAGAATCCACGCGGGGAGGTCTTGACAATCAGCCCGCTCTTCCTCATCGGGAGGGGGGGCCGCCCCCTCCCCCTTGCCCCTGGAGCATTTTTGTTGTTGCGTCCGCGGCCAGGCAGGGAGGACGTCTGCGCCGGCGAGGGGACGCCTAGAGCGGGGGGATGCCGTTCGAGCGAAGGGTGCCGCCGTGCAGGGAGGAGGAGCGGGGAGGGGCCGCGGCCGCAAAAGAGGGGGCGGACGGCGAGAGCCGCTCGGGGGACGGATCGCTCCCCGAGCGTGCCCCTCGAGCGCACGGTCCGACCGCGCGGCCGAGCTCGGAGCACAGCGTGCCCCCAGGGGGCAGAGGGGCGGCGGCGATCCGCCGCAGGCGGCGTCGTCGATCCAGCCGTGCGGGCCACACGCGCGCGCACGCAGACGAAGCCCGTGCGGACTTTCCGCGGGCGCGGCCGCCACGGTCATCGTCGATGCCATCGCCCTCGCCGGGATTCTGCGCGCACGCTTCCTCATCATCCTTACCGGCACCATCGTCATGAGCATCGGCCAGTGTCAGTATTGGCATCGCTACCATTACTATCATCATCATCATCATCATCATCATCATCATCATCATCATCATCATCATCATCATCATCATCATCATCATCATCACAATCATCACCATCATCACCATCACCACCAACGTTGTCATCATCATCATCATCATCATCATCACCATCACCATCACCATCACCATCACCATCATCATCATCATCATCATCATCATCATCATCACCATCACCACCAACGTTGTCGCCATCATCGCCACCACCGCCAGTATCGTCATCGTCGATGTCGTCGCCATCGTCATCGTCGCCACCGCCATCACCATCACCATAGTCCTCGTCACCGGTGTTGCCATTAAAATCATCACTCGCCCGCCCGAGACGTGGCTCTGAGGATCTGAGAGCAAATTCCGATGGGTAAGTGCATTTGCGATGTGCATGAGGTATCCAACAAGCTGCGGGTGGGAGGGTGAACTGTTTACACGCGCAGTGGAGCTGACGACTACAAGCTCTTCGGAGCTAGTCCTCCTCTCAACCCTTTCCCCACCATTCCCCCCAGACTGCTCGTCTTCCTGGGACTTCGCGTTTTACATATGGCTCCGCCCCATCGCGCATTTTCCGTATGAAGTCATGCGATCCCAACACAAACGGCATCGCCGCCCACCCCCCCTCATCCCTGTCAACAAAAACTATTGCGCGCACTCGCTTATCTCAAAAGCCCAAATTCGAGTACCTCGTGGGGAAAAACAAATAAAAAAAGACGCACGTGAACGCGTCGCAATCATGCCAAGCACACCCGTGCTGCAAACATTCCAACATAAACAAATCAATACAAGCTCAAACGTGTCATCGCTAATCGCGCAAAAAGGCGACCCCCCGCGCATTTGCGGAGACCGTGGGGGAACCAAACTCGCCCCACAACCCGCATCCTCATCTCACCACGCGGTGCATCCGCGTTGGTCCAGCATGCGG